CTTGAGCTGAATTTTGCCTCTTCTGTCCTATGTAGCACTTTAAATTGCCTCTATAATTGTACTTCCATCTTGTATTGTAATTATTTGTCTTTTTCTCTAACCAGACCATGAACTGCCTTTGAGGGTTGGGACCCTATTCTGTATATCTTTGTCCTCAGTGACTAGCATAATAGTTACTTAAGAATTGTTTCTTGGACAGATGGATGGATGGATGGCTACATTTCTAATTTCCCACCTGGATTATTAAATCTATTTATCCCCCTCCCACCACCAAACCCCCAACTTACATATCCACTGTGTGTATGCCTGCTGCTTCTATAGTGGAAAAAGAAATCCATCAGGCTTGCCTGAAGGAAAGCCTCCTCGGGCTGTGGCACTCCACTGACGCCTGTTAGTGTACTGTGTTTATAGCCTTTGACGGTAGACTTGGTGGTGAGCTTCTGGCAAAAGTATCTTATTGAGGATGGGAACCATCATTTTTCTTATGTCAACACCTAATAAAGTGACATTCTGACACAGGCACTTAATAAATACTCCTTAATGATAACGAGGAAATGAGTCCTGATGGCTAATTGCTGTCTTTCCTCACTGAGATGCATTTCCAGAACTGTTTTGTGGGTTGTAGAAGACTTTGACTTGCCTACATGTTTAAGTAAATCTGGGACTGATTTAATGTCCTAATTTAATGCTATAGGTTGGTTTTTAAGGGTCCTTACACTTACTGTCTAGTGCTAGATTAAATCCTGACTGCTCAATCCCTGTGCTCCTGTACTGTAAGCCACAAAGCTCAGTGGATACACTGAGTGTAGCATTGAACTCCTCCTTGGAAGCTGATGGCAGTATATTTTTTAAAAAATTAAAACCATTTTTCTCTTTTTAGTTCACAAGGCCCTCATTTAATTAAGGCAGCAAAAATGTAGGGGGAGAAAGAAAATGGGCACTGGAGAGAGGGAACAGAATATAAATTGGTGGCTATAGCCAGCCAGGGGCGAGACCCACATCTAGAACTGAAACTGTGATTAAGAACATCACACCTCTTAGCCACTTCTGTTCATTTGATTTCCATGAGGAGCTTGGTTATTTTTCCTTTCCGTATGTGCTTCACACTTCCCTTTGTGCACACAAAGCAGTAAAGTGTCCCAGTGGAACCAGCTTCCAGACAGTGGGAGTAAAGGGCCAGGAGCTGCCCTTGCACCCCAAACATGTATATGCTTGCAAGCCCATACCATAGCTCTTGGGTGTGTATCGGTTTTGGGGGCTTCTCTCTCAAAGACTGCCTTCTAGGAGTTTCCGGGGAAATGAAATTTCTGAGTAACATCCTGGCTCTTGTGGCAAAGCCATTAAGACAGGTAAGGAGGAGGGAGTTGGAGGTCCAAGGTGAATGTAGCCCTCCTCATTGGACCCATATTTATGGGTTAACTCTGAGTCTTTCCGGGTCTTTCTACAACGAGCAGAGGCCTAAACTTTAAAAACGATTTTCTGCTTTGTTGCGACTGCTTACAAAGCCTAAGGTGATTTTGACTACTCACTGCCGCTCACTCCTCCGAGGAAGCCCGGGGCTTACCTTTAACCACCCTGCGTCTCTTTCACTAGCTTCGCCTTCATTGCTGCAATGTGGCTTACAGCACAGCCAGCTGGATGCGCGCGGGAATGCCCTCTCCTCCCCGAGACCCAGTGCACGGAGGGCCCTGGCTGCCCCAACTCCAGTTTCTCCCCACGGAAGCCCGAGGAGTGGCCTACAGGAACCCTGACAGAAACCTGGAGGAAGGGGGCCGTTGCTCCCTTCTTCTGTTGGAAATAGCTATTGAAGTTGCTGAACCTGCTCTCAGAGAGCAGAGTTAGCAACGGGGAAAGAGTAACACAGAGCAAGTGGGCTACTCACGGACTGGGAGAAACCAACACACGTGTCAGAAGGTTGGGACCAGAGAAGAAAGGACAGGCAGAACTAGAGCTGGGCTGGGGCCCGCCACTCGATGAGTGACCTCCCAGGTTACTGGGCTGTTAGCTTCATCATGGATAAAATTAGAAGGAGGGTCCTTACGTCGTGGGTTGGTACTAGAGGATTCAGCATGGTTATAATGTTGTTATAAAATCTTGTGGGATTGGTAATTACTGTCTTGTGTCTTGAATTCTTTTCTTGGTCCTCATTTCTGGTTCTTGCTCAGGCCCTGAGCAGTGGGATGAATTCCTCTGGTCTCTCATTACCCCCTCCCACTTGTTTCCTAGTATCAGTGCTGGAGGCTGCCCCTTAAGCTCCAGGGTGAGCCCCAGGTTTCAGACCGTGGCTTTCTGTGCTTGCGGTCACTTTGAACCCCTCTTCGCACCTGTTGTGGTCAGGGCTGTGGTCAAGCTGACCTTTCCAGTTGCCTGCACTCAGCACTCCGTTCAGGCAGTACGTGTAATTGAAGCCTCCTTGCCTCCCCATCCGATAGGGTCGTCCTTCTCCACCTTTTGAAGAAGTTAAGAAATCAGCCCAGAGGAATGGGAAGAAGTCTGACTCGAGGGTGAGATAGAGTGAGGTTGTCATCCTAACTCTGTCACTTGTTAGCCTTTCCTAGCTTCTGGAGCCTGTCCTTATCTATAAATTGGAGTATTACCTACCACATGGGATCATTAGGAGTATTAAATCAGATAACATGTTTTAAATATCTGGAACAGTGCCTACCACATAAGTAGGCCCTCCACAATTATTAATCTCTCCTTTGCTGTTACTTGAAAATACCCTTACCAAACAGGAAGTCATATATGCGACAGCCGGTTCTCCTGCCTCTTACCCCCTTGGTGCTACATCATCCTTAATAGGCTCCCCTTCAATCTAGAAATTCTGTGCTTTGTGAGTTGTTTTTCCAGAAATTGGATTTGTGCCTTACCCCTTGGGATGGCCAAGGTAGGTAGCAAACTAGCCGGGGTTCTAGAGAGGTGTGTGGCTGTGGTATTAACACTAGCAGGCGTGTGTGGGACTCGAACCCATGATTCAACTGCATCACTGCGTCTGGTGATAGCAGCACTTCATGTCCGTCTGTGTGTGCTCCATTTGCTTCAGAGCACTCCACTTTCATCTGACTCACAGGAGTCCTGAGCGGCAGGCAGATTCTCACTCTGCAGAAGAAGAAAATGAGACCCAGAACTCAGTCCCCTGTATCACGCTACTAATGATTGGTAGAACCCAGGAAAACACCAGTTTTTTTTTATTTTGAGCCTTGATTTTTCTATCCGGAAATTCTGTGAAGTTTTGAACCCAGATGAAAGCCTGAATTCTGGCCATGCAGGTGAAAGTTTAGAAAGTTTACAGCTCTGCCACAGAACCCTCTCGCTTTCCTGTCACTAGGGTACACCTTGTGTCCATTTCTTACAGAATATTCATCAATTCATTGAATGAATTATGTGCTGGGCACCGTAGGCCCCGGGATAGTGTCAGAAACAAAGGAAAGAGTCCTGTCAACCAATTAGAAAGAATGTCTGATGGTGATGAGTGCTGTACAGAAGAATAAGGCCGAAAGGAAGCTAGGGGTGGTGGGGGAGACACTGAGTTTTCTTTTGCTTTGATTCTTTGTTGTATTTACTGTTTCCTCCATGAGAGTGGCCCATCACACCCTATTACCAGATTCTGGCATATGAGGGCTTTTGGAGACTGGTTTTGGAGTTGAACCAGCTTTACCCAGTAGAAGCAGGTGCAGGAGCTGTCTGCTTACCCACTGAATTGCTCAAGACCTCCCCAGATTAGGGCTGGGATAGCCTGGAGGGTGCCCTGGAATGCTCTGGTAGGTGGGGAGGGAGGCTGTGCTGGTTTTTCTTAGAGATTATTTGTGAAATCTAGAGCTCCCCCTGCTGTTAGAAGATGGGGAGGCTCTCAAGTGATCTTTTTAAATGATTGTTTTTTATCCTAAGATTTCAGAAATGTTTGTTTTTTAAATAAGGACTGCTGGGACATTTAGATATTTCTGCTGGGACTGTTGTTGCTGAGGCCCAGCCCCCAGGAGCGGGGTAGGGGGAGGAAGCACAAAAGCCCGGGCAGGATAGGGTCATATCTGTGCTCTTGCTACTTTTAGCTTCTCCCCTGAGCTCCTACCACTAGAGCAGCCTAGCAAAAGTTATCTCCACACACAGTTTCACAGCTGTTCTGAAATTCTAGGGCAGCAGAAGTGAAACTGACCACTGTCTTGTAAATTTCTCTCTTATTGCTGCTGTTCCCTACTTGAAGTGAGTCAGGCCTTTTCCCCTCTTACCCTCAGGGTGTCCGGACTCATCCTTTGTCTTTATAGCCAAGTGCTTGACACAAAACTCTCTTCATTGTGCCACGTTCGAGGAGATTTGGTTCTGGTTTGATCTTGTTTGCTGAGTCGAGAGCTGTGGTCTGCATAGTGGTGGGCTCCAGGGTCTGTATCGAGCCCTTCCTGTTAGCTGCTGGTTGTGTGCAACAGGGTCAACCATACAATTACTGTGAAGGTTTTTTAGTCCTCAGAGATGAAATTCAAGGTAATTTTAGCAGCACTAAATTAGCTGAAGTGAAGAAGGAAATGGCATCCAAGCAGACATAGGTTTTTCTGGTGTAAGTGCCCCATTCAGTTTGGTCAGTTTGTGATTCCTAATTAGGTTGAAGAAGTAAGGTGGATCCGACATGCTGCTGTATTCCTGTCTGTGTCCCTGTGTCCCTGTCTTCACCAGAATGAGGTGGGGCCCAGCACACATTCCTGGAGGGTTGACTGTGCAGCTAATGGTCTAGTAATGGGTCCAGGATATTTTTTTAAGTTGTATTCCATTTGTGCACTTTATAGAGCCTGAGCTTAAACAGTGACTGTTCTCATTCGGAATGAAGTAACCAAAACTGTTAATGGGGTAGCTGAACCATAAAGATACGTGCTTACTCAGGTGCCATGTTCTTCTTCACTTCCGCTAAGAATTAGTATTGCTAAAATTAACTTGAATTAAAATGCCTTCTCCACTGTAAATTGTACACATGCTTCATAAAACTAATTCTTTTATGATTCTTTCCCCAACAGCTTTGAAAAGTCCAGCTGCGTTTCATGAACAGAGAAGGAGCTTGGAGCGGGCCAGGGTAAGGCCTTTCTTCCCTGAGGGCCTCCAGAACCCATTGCATTGCTGGTGCGTCCCTTCCAGTCTAGTGGAAGGGACCAGCCCACACCTCAGTTCCAGACACAGAGTGCTGCCTTTTTCTTTTCCATCCCCACCCCAGCCATCTCACAGCGTGATGTGAAATGTGATCAGAATTTCTCCTTTACTGCGTTTACGGGTATATGATGATCAGTCCTCCTTCCTGTTACTTTGGAGACCGCTGGTATATTCCCATCAAATTCCACTTACCCTTCTGTAGATGTTAGGACGCGAACACCAGCCATGGAAAAGCTGGCTGAGGGGCTGGTCTTCCACGTCTGTGGCTGCACTGCCTACGCCTCTCCAGGAAGGGCATTCCAAGGGGCAGGAAACCTCACCAGTCTCCGTGTGCCCTGAGTAGCCAGTGTCCACTTGAGGCGGTGGATACAGAAGCTGGGCCCCTGGTTTGAGCCTGGTTTGAGCCCTGGTTCCTGCTATAGCACCTGGCCTGCTGCCGTGTCCCCCCCTTGGTTTCAGTTCCCTCAGGGGGATATTCTGCTGCCCAGTGTGGACAGAGATGGGGAAGTCATCAGAACATGCTTTCCCTCCTCCCCCTTCACTTTTTTCTTTTACATAAAAGACAAGGAAAGAGAACCTCCCCAGTGGAGGACCATATAGGTCAGGGCTTCATAAGACCCGCAACTCTTTCAGAGACTGAAATATCTACTTCTGAGACTTTCTTACTGTCTTATTTTATTTTTAAAAAAATTTCTAAGGAAAATTATGATTAATTCTTAGAGTGAGTGGGAAGAATGAGGTCACCGACACCGGGAACCAAAGCAGTAACAAACTGTGCTGTTGTAGTTACTGGGAGGAGTGGAGGATACGGGGGAGGGAGGTGCGGGGGGGCATTGTCTGGGCCCCTGACCCGGTTGTGAGACTTGGTGCCATTACCTGGATTGCTTCTCAAGTACGCAGGAAGCTAATTGGAGCTCAGTAGAACCACGATTACCTACGGAGTACTTCCACGTGTGGAGCGATGTCATTCGCTCATTTCGGCTCTTACGAGTTAGGTGCCCTTCTCTTCATTTCGTAGCTGCAGCTAAGAGAGGTTAACTAACTTGTCAAGCTAGTCAGTGGCAAAGCTGGGATTCAAACTTTGGTCTGTGGACTCCAGGTATTTTCTTAATTAGTACTGCATTCTAGCTCGTCTTTGGCCATGATTCAGAATGTCAGGTAGCTTAGAAAATACGCCTCCCTCATGCCCATGAAGACCTGTGGTGTCCGATACCTGTTCTGCCATGTTCTGCAGCAGCCGTGGCAGTCCCATTGTCCTCTGCAGATGGGGCAGAGTGATAGATCCAGAGCCGTCTCCCCTGGGGCGAGCACAGAGCTGCCCAGTCAGAGCTCCAAGACAGTGGGCGAGCGCCAGGGCTTTACCTCTCCCACAGGCAGTGTGCTCTGCTGTGTTACTTTCTACTCTACGCTACTCTACCTTGTCCTGTCTTGTCCTGTCCTTTCCTGGTTTTGACCTACTCATGGTCTTGACCTGTGGTTTGAAAAATTCTGGTGCAGCAGTTAAGAGCACAGACTCTGGAGTCAGACAGACCTGGGGCCACCTGGGCGTTATAGCACAAGCGCCAGGCGCTGAGCCTGATCAGGAATGCTTTAGTTCACCTGGAGTCTCAGAAATGAGGGCATTGGACTTGAAGGAACTACAGCTATGACACCGTATAGCAGAATTAGTAATACATTGGGCAGCCATTCAAAATGAATGGAAAATGCTCATGAGATTATACAGTGCTACATTTTTTGAACAAGATATAAAATTATATTCGGGTGCCTGGGTGGCTCAGATGGTTGAGCGTCTGCCTTCCGCTCAGGTCATGATCCCGGGGTCCTGGGATCAAGTCCCACATCAGGCTCCCTGCTCCTTGGGAGCCTACTTCTCCCTCTGCCTCTCTCTCTCTCTGTCTCTCATGAATAAATAAATAAAAAGTTTAAAAAAAAAGATAAAAAATTATATTCGCTATGATTACAGCTCTGCAAAATTAGACATCTTTTGCATGGCAGAATGATTAGGAATAAATATCCCAAAATACTAACAGTGGGTGATTAAAAATTTTTGTTATTGTTTACTTTGTAATTTTCTAAATTTTCTTTGATGAACATATATTACTTTTATGATAGTACAAGTAATACATTTTTAAGAAATACATTAATAGTTCAGCGTCAGAGAAACAAGTAGTCTGGACAGATGAGGGGGTGCCCTGAGCAGGTGCATTGGAAGTGGATGCACCCCCGCCCCCCCAGGCCTCTCCTGAACCCTGCAGGCTCCAGGCTGGGATGGGGGGCGGTCAGGGGCTACAGAGGTTCCATTCCATAACTTGTATCCTGGATTTGAGATTCTCTTGGTGTGTTTTTTCTATAGACAGAGGACTATCTGAAACGGAAGATTCGTTCCCGGCCGGAGAGATCGGAGCTGGTCAGGATGCATATTTTGGAAGGTGTGTTAGGTTGGAAATGCTTCCTCCCCTTACCCTTGCTGTTTCCATCGTGCATCACCCACATTTCTGTGTCCCTCTTTCTTACCACTTATCACTCCCATTTCTGTTGACTGCGTAAGCCAAACCTTAACACAGTAGAACGGCAGAGCTGCGAGTTCTGCAAATTCCTAGAGCAGCACAGTCACATTATCTTAGGTTGGTTTGCCCTTTTCTCCTCTGGCCACGTGGTGGCCCTGGATCTTGCCATCCCTTGGTTTGAAAGCCTTTTCTCCAGAATCTTCTAAAAATGCACTTCCTTTCTGTGTTCATTCACTCCTTCACTCCCACATCCATTCAGCATCACATGAGCACCTGTGACACCCAAGTAAGCTCATCCTAGGTGTGTCTGCCTGGCCTGGCACACACTTCTGTCCACATTCTAGTGAAGAGACTGTTTTGGCTGCTGAAAGCAGTGTGAATCTATCCATTTTGTTGTTTTTAGTTTTGAGTCAACTTTGAGTTTGGAAGAGAACTTCCTTAGTCTGAGTCCCGCTTTGTACAGAGAGACACTGAGACCCAGAGCAGGGACTGAATTGCCTTCGTAACCCAGAAAGTTTGAGGGAGGGCAGGGTGTGCTCCATCATCTGCTGCACTTTCAGTTCTGTAGCCCCCCATGCCCGGTGACCTTGGCTGGGTGTGCCCACACTCTGTCAGCAGTCGGGCCCCTTCTTGTGTCCTGTAGAACTTAAAGCTGGGCCGCTCTTCTCTGCCTGGGACACTCTCTACATCCTGATGGCTTCTGCTCCTTCCCCAGAGGGAAGCAGAGCTGCTCTGGAGTTCCCAGGGTAGAGCCAGGTCCATTCCTACATCCTCCTGCACTCCATTCTCTCCCACGGGCAGAGACCTCGGCCGAGCCTTCCCTCCAGGCCAAGCAGCTGAAGCTGAAGAGAGCCAGACTGGCCGATGACCTCAACGAGAAGATTGCACAGAGGCCGGGCCCCATGGAGCTGGTTGAGAAGAACATTCTGCCTGTTGAGTCCAGCTTGAAAGAAGCCATCATTGGTGAGGAGGCCCCAGGCGCCCTGTGTGAACGTGTGGGCCAGATGCAGGAGGAGGGGGCTCTGGGCTTCTTGCTGCTTGACTTCCTGCTTTGACTTGGGGAACTGGGGTGCAGAGTGTGAGAGCCCGAGAAAGAGGTTGTGTTAGCTTGGAACAGTGCCAGTGGCCTCAGGGATCATGCCGGAATAACTAACAGAGGGGCCTCTGTCCCCTGTCTTCTCTGTACACTGTCTCACTGGGTAGCTAGATGTCAGGATTGGTGTGTATGAACCTACGGAGATGCCAGGAATCAGAAGTCTCTTCCTTACTGTTTTTTTTATTAGTGAAATCTCTCCTTGAAGCCTGGCACTTTATACAAATACTTCACTCAACAAATACTGATTGATCTGAGAGGTGTGCCAGGTGCTAGGTCACAGCCCCACGAAGCAGAGCGAGCCCCTCACCCTTCTCGAACTCCCACCTAGGAGCAGGTTTAGGCAGGTAAACAGCTAGCGGCCGGACAGAGGCAGCAGCTGTGCTGGACGGAGCCCCAGCTGCTCTGGGCACACAGAGGAAGGTCCCCATCCCGGCTCTGCCAGTGGGGGTGGTTCGGGAGAGGTGACAGCCGAGACTGGGGCTGCGGGATGAGTTGGAATTAAAGTACATACGGGGAGAGAGGTGCTACGAGCTAGCTCCAGGGAGGGAGAGCCTCGCAGGGCGAGGAGCAGCCTGGGCGTGGAGCTGGAAGGACGGGGAAGGTGGGCAGAGTCCGGGACATGACAGGGCCTTGTGTGCCCTGGGCAGGTGTTCGGACCTGATTCCTTTAGATTTTGGTAGTTGTTAGTACAGACATGTCTTCTTGGCTACAGTGGGCCTAAGACCTGGTCCTGCCCCTGGGAGGTTGCCATGAGGCTCACCTGCTCCCTCCGTCATAAGGAGTTAGATCTTCTGGGCGGGGTACCGGGGGGGAACCACAGACCTCAGAGCAGGCTGAGTTGGGCCATGAGCCCTGGGTCAGAGGAGACTTTGGTTTCCAGAGCCTCTGTGCTGCAGACAGTGGTTCGACAGAGTAGGAGGCAGCTGGTGTGCCCTACCAGCCCCTTTGCCAGTTGGTGCTGATAACCCTCTTAGTTCCCCGCTTTGCCCTGGCATTCATCCCACCTCATCTCCGTGTTCCCCTACCCTGATCCTCACCGGATTCCATAGCAGCCCCTAATGTCAGGCCTGTGTTTAGGCCCAGGTCAGTTCTGGACTCTCCAGCCACCAAAATGTGAGAGTCAGCATGCCAGGCCCTGTGTGAAGTCGTGCAGTTTACAAAGATGAACAAAATATGATGCTGCCCTCCAAGAATGCACTACAATGAGAGAAGACTGACGTAGGAATGAGCACTTACTGAGTCTGGCTCCCGGTCAGATGCCAGCGCTGTGTAGTGAGAAGGCCACGGTCCTGTGACATAGTAGCTGAGTCACCAGCCTCACAGGATGGGCTGCAGGCCCACAGGCAATAATGGATATAAAGGGCCCGGCAGTCTTGGGCGTCTTAGGAGACGCACAGAAGGGCTGCTGCCGTCAGCAGTCTGATTCGTTACAGACCAGGGGACAGGTGCTGTAGTGACGACGTGGGGGTAATAGTATGTCAGGTACAGTGCGAGCCGGACCAACACAGCTTCTCTCAGAGACGGGCCCGGTGGGGAGGCCCAGAGAAGTATCACACACCGTAGGACACACGTGGGGTCCACTTTGCCCAATGGAGAAGGTACAGAAGGACATTCCAGGCACAGGGGGCTGTGTGGGCAGTGGCCTGGAGGTGTGGCAGAGCATAGCTGGTTTGAGGATGGGGAGGTAGTGTAGTTTGGTAAGCAGGTAAAATAACCACTAGTGACCTGAGAGAAAGCATTTGCCAGCAAAAGCCAGATCGTGTGGGTTGGGGAATGAGTAGGTGGTAAGGAAGTGTTAACAGCAGATGCAGACCATTTGTCTGCAAATGGAGAAGGAAGAAAGAGGGAGGTGGTGGGCTGCAAAGGAGTTTTAGACTGGGAGAAATGCAGCTTTGTGGCTGAGAGGAAGGAGTCAGAGGAAGAGCTGGGTCCTGGGAGGGGAGAGACTCCGGCCACGTCTGAGGAGGAGGAGGAGGAGGCGAAGCTGGGTGTGCAGAGTGTGGGGAGGGGGCCGCAGTGGTCCTGAGCCCTGATAAAGGTGAGGGTGCAACAGGGGCTTTGCAGAGGCTGACCACCCACTGTCTTCCCCACACACTCCCCAAGGCCACTCACAGCACACCGCTGCCCTCCCCTCCAGGCCGCCCTCCCCTCCAGGCCACCCACCCCCAGTTGATCTCTAAGATTCACGTCAAGACCCGTCCTCCAAGAAGTCTTCCCTGAGCGTCTCCACAGAGTCTGTGTTGCCCTTGAGCAAAGGGGATTGGACCAAAATCAGAGGGCAGGGACCCTGGCCCACCCTGCTCATTGGGCTTCTCCAGTGTGGCCAGCCACTGGTTCCTGTTGGACTGCCCTCAGGATGAGCCAGAGCGTCTCTGTCCCGGATTCCTCCGTCGCGTGCTGGTGCTAGGTGGCTGCCATCCCGTGGCCTGTCTCCTTGCTGGGAGGAAGAGCTGCTGGGAGAAGTCTAGATGTGTCAGTGGCCTGGAGTATACGGCAGTAATCGAGCTCCATTTCCCCCTTGCACCGTGTGCGCAGGCCCTGCCAGGACGGGGGCGGTGGGGGGGTGTAGGAACTGGCCCAGCAGTGAGCAGTACTGGCTCCAGCACCACTGTTTGCTCGCGGACATTCGAGCTCAGGTATGTCCTTCCCTGGTCCCAGGGGAGGAGAGAGCCTCAGCTCGTGGCCCTGGAGAGGAAGAGTCTGCTGGGAGAGTTCCTGGTTTGTTCTTGTTCCCTATCGGTGGTCTTCCCACCACCGTAGATTTCCCCAGGCATGCCCCACAGCTCACCTCTGCTGTGACCCGCGCCTCTGTTCCTCCCATGTGAACAGCAGACCCCGGCAGAACCTCTTCCCCCAGCACTGCTGAGCAGGTGGTTGGGATGTGAAATTTTTGAAATATCCTACTTGTCTTTCCTTCCTTTTGTGTCCTGGGATTTCCACACTAGGGCCCTGGCACTCCTGCTCCTCCCTCCCAGCTTGACCCCAGCCAGGACCCTGGCCATGCGGCTGGGCAGGGCACTTGGAGCCAGCGGGATGGATTTTCTCCTGGTGGCTGCCGCTGCCAGCTCTTGGGTCTCTGGGAGTCGCAGGCCACTAATAGGAGGTCACCATACGTCCGGTCTGAGTAGGCATACCTTTTCCAGAAGCCCTGGCCTGTCCCTGCCTTTCCAGGGGGTCGAGACAGCCCAGGGAGGAGCCGCGTTCTCAGGCTGTTTGTCCCTTTGAGCCTTCATTGCAGGGGCCACAAGCCTCTGGGGGAAGAGGAGAGTTTTGTGCCACCAGAGGATGGACATGAAGTGCCTTTAACAGCAGGGAAACATCTAGATGAGATGGAGGAGGCTGCAAGGAGGGAGCGTGGAACTTGACTCTGAGCACTGGACACAGTGTAGAGTCAAAGGCAAGGGAGCGCTTTTGAGAGCAGAGTAGCTAGCACTCTTCTGCCTTTGTGTCCGGGTCCTGATGATGAGCTTTCCTGGAGCTCTTTTGGACCCAGAAGGCAGGTCAGTTGCTGGGCTTTCTCCTGTCTGCCTCGCTGGGCTGGAGGTTGGGGCACAGGCACCTCTCACCATTTGTGGGGGCTGGAGGTGGAGTCTTAACGCCGGCTTTGGCTTTCAGTGGGCCAGGTGAATTACCCAAAAGTAGCTGACAGCTCTTCCTTCGATGAGGACAGCAGTGACGCCTTATCCCCTGAGCAGCCTGCCAGCCATGAATCCCAGGGCTCGGTGCCGTCACCCTTGGAAGCCCGAGTCAGTGAGCCACTGCCTAGTGCCACCTCTGTATCCCCCACTCAGGTGAGCTTGTTCCTCCAGATGCTTTCCCCACTCCCCAAGGTCCCCACACTTGCTGGAGCTGTCCAGAGTGAGGTCTCACCTGGGCCAGGGGGGACAGGGAAGCCAAGGGTGTTGCCTTGCTAGGTCCCGAGCTGGCTGCTTGAGCCCCAGAGATGTTGGTGGTGGGCCCCATTTCAGCTGCCTTGGCCAGCCCGCTGTCCTGAGCTGGGGCTGCCTCCCAGTGGGATCCCTGAGGCCCCCTGGCCAGTCCCTGCGCCCATGCAGACCCACCTGCTTCCCCCTCATTCAGTTAGTGACCTGCTCACTGCCCTCTGTGGCTCCGTGTTCCAGTTCCCTCCACCCTGCCTCCCGGGGAGTGCACGCGCACGCACCTGCACCCACCCACACACACACCCACCCACCCACACACCCACACACCCTCCCCCCCCTGCCCCCCCGCAGTGCTGGTGCTGGAGGAGGTGCCCCCTCTGGGCAGGGAAGGGCTGAGACGCACCACCACCTCATATGGCCATGCCCCCCTCCTCTCTCAGGTTGTGTCTCAACTCCCATTGGGCCCGGATTCCGGAGAAACACTTTTCCTGGCCGAGCAGCCTCCTCTGCCTCCCAGCCTCACCAACGGAACCACAGCTCCAGTGGCCAAGCCCACCCCGACGCTCATTAAGGTACAGGTCCCCAGCCAACTGCCCTCCCTCCCCTTCCCAGGCTCCTCTGAACCCTGCTGTGATTTCGTCCCAGTGCGGGGAGTGGGGTGCATATCTCTTCCTCCTGGTCAGGGGCCAGCAGAGTTCCTCCTCTCTTTGTGGGCGCTGGCTGTCACACCCACAAGCACCGCTTGCTAAGTGCAGTGGGCCGGGGTCTGGAGGGCTCTTCCTGGCTCTTACTCCACCCTCTCCCATGAAAACACTCAACACAACCCTGTGAGGCAGTCATAGTCTATTCTGTGAGTGACAGAACTGAAAAGTGAAGTGATGGGCTCAAGGTCACACATGGGTTGTTTGGGGCATTTTCTTTTTTTTAAGGTTTTATTTTGAGTAATCTCTACACCAAACATGGAGCTTGAACTTTGAACTCCAAGATCAAGACTGAGCCAGCCAGGTGCCCCTGGGCAGTTTTTATTCTCCTCCAAGGCCTGACCTAACATGTCTGAGGGGCAGGGCTTACTACCAGCCCGTGAGATGCCCATCTTTGTGTGGGGGACACTGTTTTGGGCACTGAGGTGAATTACGTGTAGCAGCATCAAGAGAGCCAGTGCCCGCCCCGCCCCCTCAGGCCCCCAGAGCCTCCTGTCTCCAGGGTCTTGGGGACTTAGCCCCCGACCGCCTGCCCACTGCCGCCTCCACGCCTGTGGCCCTGCTCCTGCTGGGAGGTTTCCCTTCCTTCCTGTCCCACCTGCTTCTTGGTCTCATCCTTTTGTCTAATCGGCTCCCTCCCGCCCCAGCCATCCCGGTTCCCCTTCCCTTGCTGGAGCCAAGCCCTCGGTGTGCCTCTGGCTGCTACCTGTGTGTATATGGGCGGGGAGGCGCTCCCTGGTGCCCTCCTGCGTGGCGCCCCCGCCGCCAGGCCTTCCTGTGGGTACCATCTCTGTGGGGCCGTGAGGCCCTGCTGCTGGCAGGGAAGTTCAAGTTTTGTGGCTTCCCTGTCCCAGAGGAGGCAGTGAGCCACTCCTCCTGGGGTCCCAGTGCCCAGGCCCTTCCTTCGTCGGGGCACCTCTCTTGGCCTCTGTGGTATGTTCCTGGCTGGCCACAGATATCAGAGTGTTTTCCCCCAAAATCCTTCCTCAGATCTCCTCGTCACACAACTGGTGCCTTCTTTGACCACTACATGTTTGAAGGATAGTTTAAATATACCCGTGTACCCTTCCTCTTTTTCGGGTAATGCCTCAGCCTTTGCGGGCTGGCTCCCCAAGCCCCCCCACGCACTGACCGCAGGCCTGTGTGGAGGGCAGGTACTCCCATCAGCCAGCTTTCGTGTCCACTCTTTGCTCCAGGTCATGGTCACATCTGCATTCCGCTGATCTTTCTCTCCAGGCTAGAGGCTCTCTTGAGTAAGCGGGGCTGCGCACAGTCGTGCCTGCCCCCCTGGGCGCATGTGGGCACTGACGGGGCCCCCTCTAGTGGAGGAGCGTGGAACTGGGTGGGTGGGGGCTCCTGAGAAGCCCAACACTGCCCCCTGATGGCGCCCCCCCATCTGCTGTGCCCTCAGCAAAGCCAACCCAAGTCTGCCAGTGAGAAGTCACAGCGCAGTAAGAAAGCCAAGGAGCTGAAGCCAAAGGTGAAGAAGCTCAAGTATCACCAGTACATCCCCCCGGACCAGAAGCAGGACAAGGGGGCACCTCCCATGGACTCCTCCTATGCCAAGATCCTGCAGCAGCAGCAGCTCTTCCTCCAGCTCCAGATCCTCAACCAGCAGCAGCAGCAGCACTATAACTACCAGACCATCCTGCCTGCCCCGCCGAAGTAGGAGCCCGCCGCCCTGCCCATCCCGCCCAGAGGCGCCCTGCCCGGCCAGTGCCAGGCCTGGCTGGGTGAACCCCAGACCTTTAAGGACCCTTTGGTCTGAGTCCTCCTGCCCCACACCCATCTCTGCCCCAAGGGTGATGCTGGCCAGGTGCTCATGTCTACCTTTTCTTCTCCTCAGGCCCGCAGGTGAGGCCCCGGGAAGTGGTGGGGCCCCCCCCGACACGCAGCCTCTCCACTACCAGTAGTGGCTCCAGCTCCGGTGCTCCTGGGCCCAGTGGGCTGGTGCGTCAGAACAGCACCCCTCTGACTGGCAAGCCAGGAGCCCTGCCTGCCAACCTGGATGACATGAAGGTAGGTGGGCGCCCCCTTCCCACTGGAGCCACTGCCGGCCCCACCTCCTGCGGGAGGCTGGCCTGGTGTTCATCTGTAGGGAGAGCTGCCAGCGCGAGCCCCACAGCCTTGGAAGGCAGAGCTGAGCTCTAGACTCTGGTCTCCTCCAGCAGAGGCCCCTGGAACCTGCTGCAAGGCTTGCGTGGCCCTGGTCATCCATGGCATCTGCTTTGTCATCCTAGTCATTACCATTAACTACAGCAGCCAGCGTCTGTCTGGGGCTGTGGGGCCTACCGACCCCTTTATACAACTTGTCTTCTTTGGCCTTTGCTGTGCAGCATGAGACACACAGAGTATCACCCCTGCTTAAAGACAAGCAGGCGGAGGTGCTGAGGGCAGAGGGGTTTGCCTGAAGTCTCAGAGCTGGCTGGTGGTAGAGTCAGGATTCAAACTTGGGGCTGTTCACTTCAGCTCCCCAATCTTTTCCACTTTGTCTGCTAACGCTCCCACTGAATTTGCTGCATCTGCTTGGGAAAAGAATGGCCTGTGCCTGGGGCACAGATCCTGCTCATGTCCTGGGGTCTTGGAAGGTGGGTCATGTCCAGGGCCTGGTCTGTTTCTTCTGCCCCCAATCAGAAGATGGAACAGACCAAATTCTCCCTGGAGAGTTTGTGCTCAGGAGCAGACCGGCCCCTCCTGAGTCAGGATCTGACCCCAGCAAGACGCAGCCCTTGTGTGGGTAGCTGGGTAGAGTCTTCAGAGTCCATCAGACCTGGGTTTAACGTCTAGCTCTCCTGCTCACTAGTGGTGATCTTGAAGTTACTTTACTTTTGTGAGCTCAATTTTCTCATCTGTAAAATCAATCCAGTTGATTCAATTAAGTATTTAAGTCATCGAGCACCAGGGCCCATGCTGGGGCTGGGGACAGCTGAGAACATCTCATGCCCAGACAGGAGGGAAAAGAGCATTTTAACCAGGCCCCTCGTGTGGTGAGGATGGGGGAAGGGAGGAGGCCGGGCTCCCGGCACACACGTCCCACCCTCCAGGGCTGTGGGAAGGTCAGGGGCTCGTGGATCCCAAGGACCAGTGGGACCCAGATGGTTGAAGCCTAACGAACAAAGATATCCTTCCCACCTCCCTGACTGCCCTCTTGCCTAGACCCAGTTCTCTCTGCTGTCCTGGCCCACCCCTGACTCTCTGCCCCCTTGCAGGTGGCAGAGCTGAAGCAGGAGCTAAAGCTGCGGTCACTGCCCGTCTCAGGCACCAAGACAGACCTGATCGAGCGTCTGCGTGCATACCAAGAACAAGTCAGCCCTGCCCCAGGAGCCCCCAAGGGCCCTGCTGCCCCTTCCATCCTGCCCAAGGCTGGGGAGGTGGTGGTCGCCTTCCCAGCTGCCCGGCTGAGCACAGGGCCTGCCCTGGTGGCAGCAGGCCTGGCCCCAGCTGAGGTGGTGGTGGCCACGGTGACCAGTAACGGAGTGGTGAAATTTGGCAGCACGGGCTCTACACCCCCCGTGTCTCCCACCCCCTCAGAGCGTTCACTGCTCAGCACGGGCGATGAGAATTCCACACCTGGGGACACCTTTGGCGAGATGGTGACATCGCCACTGACCCAGCTCACCCTGCAGGCCTCGCCATTACAGATCCTTGTGAAGGAGGAGGGCCCCCGGGCCGGATCCTGCTGCCTGAGCCCTGGGGTACGGGCCGAGCTCGAGGGGCGTGACAAGGACCAGATGCTGCAGGAAAAGGACAAGCAAATCGAAGAGCTGACCCGCATGCTGCGCCAGAAACAGCAGCTCGTGGAGTGGCTGAGGTTGCAGCTGGAGCAAGAGAAGCGGGCCCAGCAGCCGGCCCCGGCCCCGGCCCCCCTCGGCACCCCAGTCAAGCAGGAAAACAGCTTCTCCAGCTGCCAGCTGAGCCGGCAGCCCCCGGATCCTGCTCACCCCTTCAGCCCCAGCCTGGCGGCCCCCACTGCCCACCACGCAGACACTCGTCCCCTGGTGCCCCCAGCCGTGGTAGTGAAGCAGGAAGCCACGCTGCCGGAGCCTGAGCCAGTCCCTGCTCCCCAGCTGCTTCTGGGCCCTCAGGGCCCCAGCCTCATCAAAGGGGTCACGCCTCCCACCCTCATCACTGACTCCACAGGGACCCACCTTGTCCTCACCGTGACCAATAAGAATGCAGACGGCTCCAGCCTGGCCAGCGGGAGCCCCGAGCAGGTACCTGGGTGTGGGAGTGGCTGGGGCCGCAGGAGAGCGTGAGGAAACTAAGGGTGACAGTCCCGTTTACCAGACACCCCCACGGCTGGGCAGGTTGTGCTCGCTTCCTTTAAATTTCCACTCAGTCCTCTGAAACGAGGGATGGCCATCCCCATGTCACCATGGGGAGGTACTAGGACTTGGGAAGATTAAGGGAGCTGCCAAAGACGCCACAGCTCTGAGGGCAGAGCCGTCAGGGACCGCCCGTCTCTGTACCCGGGCGGAGGGCCCCCCTGAGCAGCCTGCACCCAGGCTTGCCTCTGCTCCGTGGGGGTGGGACAGGCCCCAGTGAGGGTCGGGGAAGCCCCCTACCTGGGAGAGGCAGCTGTGCCCCCCACCCCCAAGCCGTCATTGGCAGCTGGCTCCCTGCTGGTGCCACCCTCACAGCCCAGACCTCCAGCCAGCCTGGTCCACAGGTGAGGCTGCTTTAGGCTTTGTGTGACCTCTCAGCCCTGCAGAGCTTGGGGCTGGAGGAGGGGACAGTGGACAGTGACAGGAACCGGGCCCCTCAGGATGGGAGGCCAGGGCCCCTGAGCAGCCTCCAGCAGAAAGGGAAGAGATGGGAATCAGCCCAGAGCCCCACCCTCTGCAGTGTCAGAGGTCAGGCAGGGCCTCCCCCATCCCCTATCCCTTCTTCCCCAATGGCTTCTGTGCAAGCTTCCTAAAAGCCAATGCAGCAGCAGGTTGTCCTGTGTCCCAGAAGGTAGGTTCCTCCTGCCTTGCCTTCCTGGAATGTGCTGGGTCCCGGGCCTGCTTCCCTCATCCCAACCACCGGTTCTCTTACCATTCTGTCCAGCCCTTGTCCCAGCCTGGTTCTCCAGCCCCTGGCCCACCAGCCCAGATGGACCTAGAGCACCCATCACAGCCCCTCTTTGGGACCCCTACTTCTATGCTGAAGAAGGAGCCGCCTGGCTATGAGGAAGCCGTGAGCCAGCAGCCCAGACAGCAGGTGAAGAAGGTAGACCGGGGCCCGGCCAGGGTGGGCGTTTGCCTAGGTGCTGGGCTGGACTCCCACAGTCCCCCCGACCAAGCCAACTGGAAGATAGGGGCAGAGGAGGCCTTGCAGGGCCAGCGAGGTGGGGGGGTGTTGTGTGGATGGAGGGGGCATTATGGGCAGACTGGCCAGAGCCTGGCCTGACAGGAGTGAGCTCTGGGAGCCTGAGCCCAGGCCGGTGGGCTCTGCAGGTCTGGCTGCCAACTCAAGGGTGGAAGGAAGGGGCTCTGCCCTGAGCTAGGCTGGAGGCCGCCTCCTGCTCTAGATTTTCATTCCCCCACTCCCCTGTTATTTGTCCTACAGGAGAATGGTTCCTCCAGCCAGCAGATGGATGACCTGTTTGACATTCTTATTCAGAGTGGAGGTAAAGCCCAGACTCCTGAGCTAACCCCCCCCCCCGCCAGCCTCCTTCTTGCCCCATAGGTTGTGTTCAGCCCTGGGGCGCTTGCTTGACTGATTTTTGTTTCGTTATGGAACACTTAAGGGGCTGACAGGCCTTGTAGTTTGGATGTAGCAACAGCGGAGACATATACCGTCTCCAGGGCTTGGACAAGGACACCAGTCAGGGGTGCAGCACCGGTCTGGGTAAAGCAGTGATTGCTTTACCCAGCACCCATTGCATGGTGGGCACTGTCACTGCGGCCTGGGGTGCAGTGATGAACGAAACAGAGATGTTCACCTTTGCAGTGTCTAGTGTGAGGAGATGAATGAATAGTAGACAGGTAGATTGTATCATGTGGGAGGAGTAAATATTATGGAAAGCTGGGGAGGGTCTCAAGTGTGTGGGGGCATTTGGGTTGACCTTGTTGGGCTCCCTGGGGGGCACCTGTGGGGCCAGATGTGCTGGAGGGGCGGTGTGGGCACAGGAGGGAGAGGAGTCGCAGATCGGGGCAGATCATGAGGCCTCATGGGTGCATGGCGGAAGGGCTCGGACTCTGGGTGAAGTTGAGTGGAGGGTTGTTCCAGCTGGAAGGGCAGGAGCTGGGAGGCCGCTGTGGGAGTCCAGGGGGCCCGGGCCAGCCTGTAGCAGGGAGGCGGAGAAGGACCCGAGTCTCGGTGTATTTTAGAGAGCCAGTCGATTACCTGATGGATTGGGCAAGTGATGTGGCGAGACAATAGGACGACAGCCATGGATGTTACCAAGGGTTCGGCCTGAGTGACCCGGTTGCAGCTGCAAGACTGCCAGGGGGAGCCCCAGGGGGTGCGTTGGGGATGCGTTGGGGATGCGTTCGTGCAGCCTCAGGCTGGTATGTCCTGAGACAGCCAAGCAGGGGCATCACGTGAAGGCAGGCAGGGGATTGTTGGCATCTAGATGGACATTTGGAGATTGGGTGAGCAGAGAGGAGGATGAGGCATAGTCCAGGGGCATAAGCAGATGATGCTCATCAGTGGGCAGAGAGTGGGAGGGTGCCCTCAAGACCATGAAGTCCTAAAGTCCAGGGCTGTCACTGGGCGGCCAGGGGAGACAGTGACCAAGATCTGGTCACGAGATTAGCACTGTGACTGGCCACTGGTGACCTCAGCCAGGGTGCTGCAGTGGGACCATGGGCAAGGGCCCCGGGGGTGTAGGAGTCAGCAAGTCCGGATAGCTCTCTGCAGAGGGTTTCCTGCAAAGCGAGCAAGGAGCCAGCCTGTTTGCACGCTGGTGGCGGAGGTCCCTGGGTGCGGGGGGGGGGGGGGGGGCTCAGCGTCAGGTAGGAGCCGGGGCAGTTCCCTGATGGCAGCAGCCAAGAAGGCAGGGTGTGTGGAAGTTCTCTGAGTGCTTTACTGATGGTGATAGGGAGAGGGTTAGCAAGATGGTACAGGTTAAGTGACAGCTCAGCCGTGGAATCGTACACTTTAAAAATGGTGACTTTATGGGCACCTGGCTGGCTCAGTCCATGGAACATGTGACTCTTGATCTTGGGGTTGTGAGTTTGAACCCCATGTAGGGTGTAGGGATCATTTATTTTTTTTTTAAAGATTTTAAGTAAATAAAATGGATTTTATCTCAAAAAGAAACCCCGCAGAGTGTAAGAGCTGATGTTACCGTCAAGGTCAGATTCTGACCTTAGCGAGGCTCTGCGTATTCTGAGTCTGGGATCTGAGGCACATTTCTAAGAAGCACAGGGGGCACTGAGGCTACTGGGCTGGGCGGTGCTTGTGGGCCGTCGGAGAGGCTGGTCTGGAGCCCGGGGGAGAGGCCTGGTGCAGATTTGGGGAGTTCGTGGTGTCCAGACAGGACCCCAAACTGGGAGGGCTTAGGCTTCCTGGAAAAGGAGATGATGCCAGAAGCAGAGAGGGAGCAGGCCAGGCCTTGAGCGCTAGCAGTGAAGACATGGCAGAGAAAGGGAGCTGGGGGGTGCTGTCCGTCTGCCCCCCGAGGAACACAGACCTGGGCACAGATGCCCCGGGAAGGCATTTGAATGGGGGTGGGCATCTGGGGAGACCGAGCTTGGTGAGATGGGCAGGCGTGTCAGGCTGGGAGAGCGGGAGTGCCAAGGAGCAAGCCTGGTTGGTTTCTGCATATATTTTTTTTTATTGTGGTTAAATACACATAAAACTTGCCATTCTGGTAATTTTAAAATGTATAAACTCGGTAGCATTAAATACATTCAGTGTTGTGCAGCCATCACCACCATCCGTCTGTGGAATGTTTCCGTCATCCTGGACTGACACTTGGGTCCTGGTAGGCAGGAACTCCCTCCCCCAGCCCCAGGGAACCTCTGTTCTTCTCTCTGCTCTGCATTTGCCTGCTCTAGGGACCTCATGCCAGTGGAATCCTCTAGTACCTGTCCTTTGGTTTCTGGCTTACTTCACATAGCACAGTGCCCTCAAGGCTCATCCGTGTTGTAGCCGGTCATCAGAGTTTCCTGCCTTTTTATGGCCGCGTGAGATCCCACTGTAGGGACAGAGTACCTTGTGCCTATCTGCTCACCCACGAGGGACACTTGAGCGGTGTCCCGCTTGGGCTGTCGTACGTAATGGTGCTGTGAGCACTGGCGCACTCGCATGTGCTGGGATCCCTGCACGTCTTCCACAGTGGCTGCACCGTGTTTGTTCCCACCAGCTGTGCACAAGGGCTCCCATCTCTCTACAGCCTCACCGACACTTACTACTAGCCATCCTACTGAGTGTGAGGTGGTGTTCCTTTGTGAGTTTGATTTGCACTTCCCTAAATACTAATGAGGTTGAGCATCTTCTTTTGTCCTTATGGGTCATTTGCAGATCTTTTATTGGAGAAACGGTGGAGTCCTTTGCCCTTTTTCCCTGTTGGGTTTTGTTAAGTTGGAGCTCTTTAGTCTGGACGTGAACCATCAGATCCAAGGTGTGCGGACATTTCCTCCCACTCTGTGGGTTGTCTTTGCTCTTGATGGTGTCCTTTGGTGCACAAAACTTAAAAATACGATACAGTTAATGTATTTTTATTTTTGTTGTCTGTGTTTTTGGTGCAACCGAGAAATCATTACTGAATCCAGTGAAGATTTGCCCGTCTTCCTCTAAGGGTTCTGTGGTTTCAGCTCCCAAATTGAGGTCTCTGACCTATTTGGAGTTAACTTTTTGTATGTGGTGTAAAGTAGGGCCAGCCTCAGGTCCTTTTCAGGCCTGGTTCCTGACATCCATTCACTTTGTTGTTTGCCAGAAATCTCAGCAGATTTCAAGGAGCCACCACCTTCCCTGCCAGAGAAAGAGAAGCCCCCCTCGATGGCAACTTGTGGGTCACCCCTGGCCATGCCATCCCCGCCCTCTGCTGAGCTCCCCCAGGCGCCGCCGCCTCCCTCGGGCTCTCCCGTCCTCCCTGGGCGCCTAGAGGACTTCCTGGAGAGCAGCACAGGACTGCCCCTGCTGACAGGCGGGCACGAGGGGCCAGAACCCCTGTCTCTCATCGATGACCTCCACAGCCAGATGCTGAGCAGCTCTGCCATCCTGGACCACCCCCCCTCACCCATGGACACCTCGGAATTGCACTTTGCCCCTGAGCCCAGCGGTGTGGGCCTGGACCTGGCTGATGGCCACCTGGACAGCATGGACTGGCTGGAGCTGTCATCGGGCGGCCCCGTGCTCAGCCTGGCCCCGCTCGGCACCACCGCGCCCAGCCTCTTCTCCACAGACTTCCTCGACGGTCATGACTTGCAACTCCACTGGGATTCCTGCTTGTAGCTCTCGGGCTGCAGGGATGGGACGGGAGGGGCTGGAAGCTGGGGAGCCTCGGGAACTCCTGGGCGCTCCGCGCGCTCGGCCTGATCCCGCCTCCCGTGTGGTCCTGAGTCCTGACAATCACAGGCCCTGCTTTCCCCTCCCTGGGAGGCTGGAGCAGGCCATGTCGCCACCTGGCTCAGGCTCACCAAGGAGAGGAGCCGCCCAGGAGCAGCTTTGGTCTCAGCCTAGAGTTCAGGAGGCCTGGACGGGCCAGGGCCATTCTATTGACCTCCTTTTGTGAGGTCGGAGGTGCAGTCTGGCTGCAGTTTGCTCAGGCAGGCGAGGCCTGGGGCGGATCTCCTCCTTCTCTCCTCCCCCCCATCCCCCCACCCCCCATGAGGGAAGAAACTAGCTGGGCCTCTACCTCCCCGTTCCCCGTGATGCCAACCCCAGGGTCCCAGGCTTCCTGGGAGAGGAGCCCCTTGCCATTTTAGTGTCTTGGTGTTGTGTAACCTTTAGTGGCTGGTGGCAAACGGTTTCTGTACAGGTGTATATCTCTATATTCTATATCGCCATACATATGTATACATCTATTTTGGGGGCTGGGAGGTGGATTAGCGCTCCTTCCCATCCTGTGCACACTATAGAAGGGCCTGGAGACCACCGCTCCTGGGGTTGGGTGCAGCTCACCTCAGCCCCATCACGCGTGTTTGACATGTAGACACCCTGCCACAGCCTGTGCCCTGCTCCGTACTAGTGCCACGAGGGCAGAGGTGCTTCCCGGCCCCCCCCGCCCCCCACATTCCGTCCCACTGCCTCACTGCAGCCGCGGTGGCCCTGGGACAGGAGGGGGTGTCAGCCCTCAAGCTGTAGCCGCCTCTTGCTCTGGGGCCCAGCCTCCCTTCTGGCCTGTCACTCTCGTTAACAGGGAATTAGGGATGGAGTCACCAAACCAGTGCTGGGACAGAGGTCGGGAAGCTGTGTGGACTTTTTAAAATAAAAACAAAAACACTGATTTTGGTCCATTTTTGTTCAGTCCATGGAAGAGGCGGGTGGTAGGGCTGGGCCCTAGGCTTCCTAGACCATCCAGAAAGGACAGAACCTTGGCCATACAGCTCTATGGCCCCGGCTGGACAGAAGACGGGAGGTGCTTTCCCAAGGACACGATTTATTGACAAGCCAAAGAGCCTGTGGCCGCCCCCCTCCCCTTCCTGAGCACGAACGGACAGAACAGAGATGGTGCTCCACCTTCTCACGAGGTTTTGGTTGGTACAAACTGCAACTGGGGCCCGGGCAGAGCACTCCCCTAGGCACGGGGAGAAGCCGGCTCAGCCCCACCTTCTGCTTCTGCCGCCCACTGTTCTCTAGTGACATCCCGGGCATTCCAGGTGGTGTCCCCGTTCACCGTGCCATGGGGCCTGGCCAGACCTCCAGTGTCGCTTTCCCTTGACACCCCTGCCCCAGCTTGGAATGGGCCCGGGCCACCTCCGACCCCATCCCCAAGCAGGCCCGAGCCTGGCCAGGACTGTGCTCTTTTTGCTTGAGGAAGGGGCTGCTCGGTAGTCAGCAGGTCGGGGGAGGCCGAGCATCACCCGTCTATGTCCCAGCTGAACAGGTGGTGCTTCACTAGCATGTCCTGAACACCCTCCTTCAGCGGCTTCTTCTCCTCCTGCACAGGGGGACAGCCTCTGTTGGGGGCAGCACAGCGGGAGGGGGGGGGGGGGGGCAGGATCACACGGCAAGGAAGCCCGAGGTGGCAGGGGCCAGAGCGGCTCGTGGGCTGCGTGATGCCGACACTCGGGGTCCCCACAGGCCCTGCCTGAGCCACCCACGAGGTGTCTGGGGTGGCCTGCCCCACCCCAGGCCGTCCCCAGGGCGGGAAGGTGGGCCGCAGGGCCGAGAGCCAAGCCCAACCACGCACCTCTCTCTTCACAGGAAGTTCCCAGTCCTGGGAGAGGCTGAAGGCGAAGCAGCAGAGGACGCTGGAGGTGAGAAAGGGAGCGGTCAACTCTGCCCGCACCGACCCCACCCCGGGGCCACTGGGCAGGGGACTCACCGGAGCTCACATTTGATCTGGACCCAGCCAGGGCTGCGCAGGAAGGACCAGGGCTGGTACCACTTCTCCACAGTAGGCAGGCTGGAGCAGAGCACCTCGAGCCACAGGTGCAAGACCTGCTCGCTGGGGACAGGTGGGAAAGAGTGGGCTGCCCCACCCCCAGCGCCTCTCCCCCCACTTGGTGACCGCACCTTCGCTCTCCGCCAGTGTCTGCACAGCGGCCTAGCTCCGGCTCCTCCCCACTGGGAGGCACTCGGGCCCACTGTCCCCACGGCCCCAGCTCTTTCTGTGTCTGAGACTCGGCTACCACCTGCTGCAGCCAGGGGCCTTAGCCCTGCTGGTCAGTCCAGGAGGGGAAGCCCACAGCCATGTTAGGAGCTAGTCTCCTGGAGCCTGTCCCCTCCACTGGGTGGCAAATGCAGAAAGCAGACTCACGCTGGCCCGGGTTTGGGCCTCACAGATGCCCAAGCTCCCTTCGAGCCGGCGCCCCTCCCTAGTTGGTTGTGGTGGCATCATTCCTGGTGACCCCCCTCACCCAGCACCTTGCTAAAATCTCTGCCTCACAAAACCTGCGAGTGCCTTCCCCAGCCCACAGAACGATGGCCGGTCTTGTACTGGAGGAAGGCTTTTGGGAGTCACCCTTGCCGCCTTGTCTGTCCAGGTCCCAGGCCCAGAAGGCTCAGCTCACGGGCACCCCGCTGCCCCACAGACCAACAGCCCAGGCTACCACCCATCTGGACTGTCACTGGCCCACAGTGGGCAGAGATACTCACTTGAGCCCCACACAGATGAGGGACCGGAGCTTGACGTCCATTTGTGCGTGTGCAGCATCGTGGGTCACGTTCACGGACTGCACAGCCTGGAAGGGCCCAGTTGTCACTCGGGGGGCTCCAGCTGCCAACCCAGGAGGCCTGCCCCACCCCCCACCCCACTTACCCGGTAGAGCAGCTCCTCCGGGGTCAGGACTTTGCCATCCTCGTCCAACCTGAGGGAGGGATCAAAGCTGCCGGTGCTGCCCTAGTAAGCGCGGCTCGGGCTGTGCCCCCCTCCCCCACGGGGACAGCCAGCAGGACCCGGGGCATGGGGTTGGCGCCTGTTACCTGTACGTCTTACACAGCACCAGGCGCGAATACACGGAGTCAAAGTCTCTCTCTACCTCCCGGCCTGCTGCCTGGGGGTCAAGGTGAGTGTAAGGGACGACGGAAGGTACCGGGCCAAAGCCACGGGGTCCAACTGAGCGCATGCTGTCACCCCGTGAGCTCCTGCGTCGGCTCTGCAGGGCCCAGAAGCTCAAGGAAAAGGATGGTGGGGGATGTGGGTCCAGCCATTGACTTACCTCCTCGATAAACAACCATGGGTGGCAGGCACCCCCGAGCAGGGAGGGCTTCTTCAGCCCATGTTCAAACAGGGCCTTGAGAGCCGGGCAGAGGGTCCCTCGAACGAGGTCCGTGACCCCCTCTGTCACAGCGTCGTCCCCCGCGATGGAGTACTGATGGTGGGGGACAGAGTCTGAGAGGCGCCGGCCGCGCCCTCCCCGCCCCCACAGCCACTGCCACAAGCCAGCAGGTGCCGAGGGCAGGCGGCGGCGGCTCCCAGGGGCAGCCGTGCCTTGTGCTCCCCCCTTACCTCTTTACTCCGTTCGTCCAGGACTTCCACAAACTTGGCTGGAAACCAGCCTGTGGGAGAAGCAGGGCCCCGTGAGGAGCGGGGGCGGGGGCCGGCGTCCCCACACCTCCCGCCGGTAAGGGCGTAAGGCCGGTGTGTTGGCAGCCTTGCCGGCTGAGCAGGCCCAGCTCCCGAGGCCAGAGGGCTCCCGGGCTCCCGGCCCGCCCCTCCGCCGGACGGAGGCCTCACCTCTCAGGCCGTTCAGCTCCCCGACCCAGCAGTGCTCGTCCTTCTGGGAAATGATCTGCACGGTCCGCCGGCGGAGAGGAGGAAGCAGAGCTTTGGCTGCCCAGGCCCTGTGCCTGCGGCCGGGCGGCGGGGGGGTGGGGCGGGGAGGGGGGACTGCCCAGGGGTGCCTGCTCCGAGCCCCACGCACCGTGATGATGTCGTTCCTGCGGAAGCCCAGCTCATCGTCGTCATGCCGCTCGAAGTCCAGCAGGGCCTTGGCCCGGCGCCGGTGGCCTCGTGAGCACGCCACGTAGTTCTCGTGGTCCCGCTGGTGGCTCTCCATGCTGTAGTCCGGGCTCAGCTCCTGCCCAAGGGGCAGAAAGGCCTGCTCAAGGCGGGGGAGGCGCCTCCTGGCCAGGGCTTTGGCACCTCACGACGAGGCTGGGGAGCCAGGGCCCCCAGATTGAGCCCACAACTCACCACGCTACAGTTTTTGGGGTCTGTGCACTGGAAATGGCGTGCGACGCGCAGGATGGCTTCCCGGAGGTCAGCTACCAGTTCTGTCTGCTTGATGTTCTTGGCCTTGAGCGCCTCCAGGTCGTCCTCCCCTGGGAGCCCCAGAAAACTATGGCAGCCACGGCCTTCTCCAGCCCCCCAGGAAGCTGAGGGTCCATGCCGGGGTCTGAGGACGGACTCCCCCCACCCCCCCGCGCCAGCCAGGGCAGGGAGCGCTGTGAGCCAGGACCCCCTGGCAGGGAAGGGGCCACTGAACCCAGCCCGGCACCGGCTGCCACAGCAGTTCTCACCAAAGAGCAGGGAGGTGATGCCAGACTTCCTCCGCTGGGTCCTGCGACGCACGACCTGCAGGCAGGGAGCGGGTCAGTGGCGGCCAGTGGGGGGGTGGCGGGCGCCCCAGCACTGGAGGAAGCTAAGGGAGCTCCTCCTGGGGCCAGTGTCTCATGCCAACTCCTCTGAAATGTCCTCTGCGGCCGGCTCTGAGCATCGGAAATGTGGTGGGTTCAAAGCCGGGTGTGTCCTACACCCACACAGGGCAGGTCACAGCGGAGATGAACAGAAGGCCGGGGCAGCGGGTCCTCGCACAGCTGTGGTCTGACTGGGCCGGGGGCCGGGCCAGGGAGGGGGCAGCGGAGCAAGGAAGGGCTGGAGGGTTCCCCGCAGCCCCTCTCACTTTGGGCTTCCTCGGGGAGCCCCCACCCTCT